AAATTTAATTGCATGCTTTTCTTATTTTTTTAAGTACATAAAAACTCATTTTTTAAATAAAAACAAAATGCTAGAAGTGTGAGAATATGGATATTCGGGAGAGGGTCATTTTAATCAAAATAACAAGTTGAAGAAAAGATTAAAAATTAAGAGAAATTAATAATTTTCAACTTCAACGAAGTTTCTAGAAAATGGAAAACATCCGATTTTGAAAGGAAGTTGATTTCCTTTCCCAGGCCAACTCATGATGAGTCGAGTTTTTGCACACATTACTGGAGAGCAAATAAAAGGGATGTTTTCCCGCCACTCGAGGTAGTCTGTCGAAACGAGGTATTGCCACGCAAGAAGCTCGCCATACGATAGAGGCAGTCCATCGAAAAGAGGTTTGCCATACTGAAGAAGAGAACTAGCCATACGACAGAGGCAGTCCGTTGAAGAAAGGTATTGCCATACGAAGAAAGATCTCGTCTTATGAAANGGAGGGAATTTTTCGAAAAATCCCTTCTTAGTGTACATTCTCTTGACATACCCTATTAAAACGCAATCAAAAACGCAAAAAACCGCATCTGAAATAGTATAAATAGAAGCAGAGTTCTTTACTGTAAGCCTTAATCCTGTCCATCTCCCCCCAGTGCAGGAAATTTCGACATGTATAATATATAAAAACGCATGTATTTGAATGCAGCGTTGTGTCAAAATTTCAAAGGAATCGGTAGGAACAAACAAACATTACATTTCTATTTATATAGATAGATAGAAGATGATCTGCTTTAGTTTATCCTCACAGAAAAGCAAACTTAGGTCATCGTACTCATAGCGCCATCTGTTGGACATAAAAGTCTTAACCCTAGATGATATCTTTTAATTTATATGAATGTTTAACAGAATAATATACAGCCTATGTCCACCCTGAAGTTCCATTCTAAATATTGGTGAAAGAATTTTTGAAATCAGATGAGTAGTTTCAGAGATTACAACTTACATACAAACTTACAAACATTACCTCTTTATAATATTAGTATAGATAAACATGCCAAACAACGTGTCAAATTCTTGAGCTATATACAGTCTATAATTAAATATTATAAATTAATTAATTTGACTAGAGGTAGGCAGTTATGCTGCATCTTGTATTAAATTTAATGACAAATTCCAAATTAAATTTGAAAAAATGTCTAAATTAAAAATTAATTATTTATAATTATTAAATTTAATATGAGATGTATACGAGTAGTATAACTGTCTATCTCTAGTCAAATTAATTAATTTCTAATATTTAATTATAGCCTGTACATAGCTCAAGAATTTGGCATATCGAACGATATGCCAAATTCTACGTCAAATTCTATGTCAAATTCTTATATAACGGACGATGGCTATTCATGNTAGTCTAGACTAAAAAAAAAAAACAAAAATTACTTTTCCGAACAACCCAATATATATGTCAGAAATGTAAAGGCAAGCAGAGGGGACCTAACTAAGCAGATTTCGTATAGGAATGTGGGTGAAGAAATGCAGTGAAAGGGCGCTGTTGAGTTCAACGGATGAAAGCGCTTTGCTGGCTTGAATTGTCATTCCCAACAAGGATTTTCAGCAACATGCATTGTTACACCAATGCAGAGCTTGCCAACATGCATTTCATGTATGAGGCTGTGCAAGGAAATGGAGCTGCTGCTCAAAGGATTTACTGTACTTGGAGCAATTTCTGGGTAGGAATCTGCTGAATTGCCGAACATTTGAATGTCTTCATCACGAGTTGTGCGTGGAAATCGCTCCATGTACATCCTTTGAGCAACAGCTCTATTTCCTTGCCAGCCCCATAAACAAATTGCATGTTGGCAAGCCCCGCATTGGTGTAATGATGCATGTTGCTCAAAATCCATGCTGGGAATGACGATTCAAGCCAGCAAAGTGTTTTCATCCGCCAAACTCAACAGTGCCCTCTGACTGCATTTTTGNAAATTGAAAAGTTTAAGCTTTGGGAAAAACTAGATTTATAGAAAAATTATTAGAACAAGAAAAAGGTAAATTTTTATATTTTAAAGACTTAAATCTTAGATAGAATTGAATTAATATTAGTTTAATATCATCACCTTTTAAACCATAACCTTGAAAAATAAAACCTATTCATGTTTCTAAGTAGAGAAAAAAAAATTTATATAATGATCTGAGTGAAGTTAGAATATTTGGCAGTTTGTCAATAATTGCATAAAAAAAAGAATGAAATTGGTGTTATTTTTGATAATATTAGAAGGCAAAAATGGAGAACAAATGGACAATTCTTTGAAAATACATTTTGACTATAAATGGCAAAATGCTTACATATGACTTGGAAATTGAACAACTTTTAAAAATTAAGAAATGTTTTAGAGTTATGGATAATAGAATGACTAAAACAAATGACACAAGATGTGTTATCATTATCTTGTAATTTTCAAGGAAAACTTTTATCAGAATTATTACACCCAGACACAGTTAAAAATCTTAATTACTACAAAATTTTGGCCTTCCAGGAGACATGGATTACCAAACTGTTTAAAATAACTCTGAGTCTAGAATTTTTGTTAACTATACAATATATGAACAATATGTAAAGGTTCCTTCTCACCAGGTACTGGTTCAATATATATAAAAATCGATTCACAATAAACCTTTGACCAGTAAAATATTTATTTGAAAAACAAACGTTTTCGACCGTATTCTTCAGCCTTCTTCAGGTTAAACATTTCGAGATTCGACAAGCCATTATGCTTACAGATTTAAAAGTTTTGGAACATATTCAACTCATTATGAGCATGCGTATCAAGCATTGCATAAACAAAATATATTTAAACAATCTTATCTAAACAATCTTATTTTACACGCACATGAAATGTTAGAAACACCTTAATTAGAGTTGTGGGGGCCAAAGGTGTTTCTAACATTTCATGCGCGTGTAAAATAAGATTGTTTAGATAAGATTGTTTAAATATATTTTGTTTATGCAATGCTTGATATGCATGCTCATAATGAGTTGAATATGTTCCAAAACTTTTAAATCCGTAAGCACAACGGCTTTTCGAATCTCGAAACGTTTAACCTGAAGAAGGCTAAAGAATACGGTCGAAAACGTTTGGTTTTCAAATAAATATTTTACTGGTCAAAGTTTTATTGTGAATCGATTTTTATATATGAACAATATGTTATTAAGAATTATGGGCCTGGTAGACTCCCTTAAAGATTAATGTTATTTGTTGACAAGTTTTGGAGTGAATCTTTTCTTTTTTTATAAGTCAAACTATTTTTTTAGCAGTTAAAGTTACCATACAAGAAATGAAAGTAGAACTGAGAGTAATTAATTATTATTTTTAATTATCAAATTTCTTTATTTGATAGTCTTTTGTTGGAACTAGAGAATTACTTCATTTAACTGATCCATTGATGAAGATGTTACTGACTGATGACTCAAACTCGTGTGGAAAATGAGATGGATTGCTTATTGTTGAATGATTTTGAAAACAAAGCATTTGATGATGATAATATATACTTAAGAGGAAAAAAATGTTTTAAAAATACATTCTAACACCATTTATATATTTCTCAATCATGCATTTTTTACAATTATACATTAAATATTTTCTGCATAGTATTTCTCCATTGTAAAACACTTCAGTTATGTTTTTCATTTATATGATTTTGAATTTCAGTATATGTCATATTTTTTAGTACTTACAGCATTTTACTGCATTATTCACATTGAAATAAAAAAAATTTAAAGCAATAATTAAAAAGTGAAAAAATAAATTACATTTTCACTTCAGGTGTTAATCCACAATGAATAACTAACACATGCAAAAAGCAGGAATTGAAATTGTTGAAATTTTTATTCTAGAATACTAATATTTATTGAAATTATCCTATCACAAAGGACTTAGATCTAAAAATGTACTTAAAAATATATTTTAAAGAATTTAAATAGCTGTTTGAATTAGTGCAATATGAATAAAACAATAACAAACCATGAAAATGAAAGCTAAACAAAATAAATGTAAGACTAATTTCAAAAAGCTGTATTTTTAACAACTTCTGACAAAAAAATGATGAATCTTAATAATAATCTCCACTGGAGTAAATAGCTGTTGATCAATACAGTAGACCCCCTATAACACTGTTGATAATTCCATATTATATGAATTTCATGTTGTACAAGTCACTTATATTTTACAAATACGTGAGCCATTCACAGTCTGGCACATGTATTTGTAAAATCTAAGTGACTCATACAACATGGAATTCATATAATACCGAATTATCAACAGTGTTATAGGGGGGGGTTCTACTGTACTTTCAAAACTGTTTAGACAAAGTAAATTAAAAATTTATTTATTCTCATTCCTGTGAAATATTCTTATATGGATAATAAAGACACCTAGCTTTTAATGAAAGCAAATATTTTTTATTTTTATTTCAAAATATAGTATGCTATTATTATTGACACAAGCAAATGACAATTATAAAGACAAAATACAAATGCTTATTAGCCTGTAAGGAAAACTTTGTGTCTGCATGATATATAAATATGGATGAAGCATCATGTTTTTGTTTATATAAATTAATTATAAATTGTTTTTTGATGAAAAATTTTGCATTAAATAGATGATGAAAACACTTCCTAGTCATGAGGAGAAAAAGGGCAATTTGATTAAGCAAATTTAAAAGTTATATCATTATAACCAATATATTCATTTATTTTCTTTACTCAATCATAGGCTAAATCTGCACCTCTTAAGCAATAAAAAATGCTTTCAGAAAATGTTTAAATTATAAAATTAATAATTATAAGATTGTAAATGAAATATGAAAAAATACTAAATGAAAGTATCTTACAATGTGCTGTATATCATAAATATTCTAAAATGTTGTTGATATTTTAAAACATTCTAAAATTCCTAATCATATCCAAATTACCCAATGCTTCATTACGTTATCTTATTAGTTATGAAACAATCTTTTATAATTACCATTTGTTGTTCCCCCTCTAATATTTGATCTAATCTCTGTTTAATCTCTGCTTTGGTTTGAAGTTTAAGAGTTTCATATCTTGTACTTCCTGCTGAACCAAAATAATATTCTGAAGAAAAATCATCTCTCAGATATTCCATTTTATTGTGAAATGAAAAAAAATCCATTATTGAATGGAATATTGTTGGATTGTAAATAACGTCTAGAGGATGTGAATTAATAATTAATCTAAAAAAAAGAAAAAAT